TACACTCTCCCTACACTTCAGCAACACGCTGACTTCCGGTCAGGACCGCCAGGGCGCCGCCACACCCCAGCCGGATAAAGTTACCCGTCAGATCTCCGCCGCCATGGAAAATCCTGGTGATCCCATGGAGCAGCCAGTCTGTTGAATGCAGAGGTTTTGAATTTTTGCAATTTGGTTTGAGTCCAGGCATATACATGTTGTTTCAAGTACATCTGTTCCAGTTCAGACAGGTTGCAAAGCGATGTGGTCGGGTGGGGGGGGGTCGTTAGTCGGTGTTGAATGATTTCTAACGCATCTCCGGTTGGCATTTTTGTAACAAGGGATAGGGAGTCAAGCTCACCACGATCGTTGTCGGTGTAGTAGATCAGCCGTTCATATTATCTCTGCATTCCCCGAGGTTGAGAAACGCACCTACTGTTGGCTGGGTTTAACAGTATATTCTGGACTGGAAACAAACATTTACTGAGGAGGTAGGTAATGTGCTGGAAGTTTGCTATTATCGGTCCCGGTGGTGTTTGCACTTCACGTACCTTGGACTGTCGACAGAGGTATGGATCACGGCAGCCGTCGACTCCTGATCGGAGAGGTCTGATCGACGCTTTATACTGTCTTAATTGCTGCTTTGTCTCTTGATAATCCCATTGGTCAGCCGGCTGATTTCTATGGTTATGTATTCTATGTATGGCTCCTCCTTTGAATCCAACGGATCTTCCACTATGTTGAGTCATCTTCTAAAAGACTTTGGGTCTTCTCTTCTTATTTCTTCAACATCTTCTTATTCATCACAACTTTACTATTGCCCACGTCTGCCTGTAGGATAACCAGCATTTTATTTCTCATCTTCATCTTGCATGACACGTCAGACACTACTTTCAACGTACCTGATCCTACACGGGAATCTGTTCTTTGGCAGAACGCAACCAGTGTCAAGAGCAAATTGCTGCCATATATTTTCACCAGGTTAATCTTGACCGTCCCCTGGGTAAGAGGAACGTTCTGACTGTCAGCTACCACTGGCGGTGTCATTCCCGTGGACCCTTGTCTGGCGTGCTATAATGGCATCGTGTTGTCTGCCTCCTTCGTTCAGAACGGGTAACGACTCCGATGCTGACTGGTATCTTAGCCGCCGTTCCGTCGGGCTTCGGCAGCCGTCATCATGCTGCTGCGCCCTGTCTGTCAAAAGGGAAAGAGCTGGTTATGATTGCTTACTTTTCGCAACCTGTCTCAGTCCCTCAGTAGTGTGACCTGCCCCAGGTTACCTGAGCAGTAACCAAGCCATTATAATGC